CTCGTGCTTGTGTGCTCGTGTCCCTGCAGCAAGCCACTCGAGTCGAATCAACTCTCTGCCCTCCCTCTCCCCTCTGTCCTCCACACCACCATCACTCCAGGTGGCGTCTGGTGACAATGGTGCTGCGCCTGGCTCACGCGCTCGTGCTTGTGTGCTCGTGTCCCTGCAGCAAGCCACTCGAGTCGAATCAACTCTCTGCCCTCCCTCTCCCCTCTGTCCTCCACACCACCATCACTCCAGGTGGCGTCTGGTGACAATGGTGCTGCGCCTGGCTCACGCGCTCGTGCTTGTGTGCTCGTGTCCCTGCAGCAAGCCACTCGAGTCGAATCAACTCTCTGCCCTCCCTCTCCCCTCTGTCCTCCACACCACCATCACTCCAGGTGGCATCTGGTGACAATGGTGCTGCGCCTGGTTCACGCGCTCGTGCTTGTGTGCTCGTGTCCCTGCAGCAAGCCACTCGAGTCGAATCAACTCTCTGCCCTCCCTCTCCCCTCTGTCCTCCACACCACCATCACTCCAGGTGGCATCTGGTGACAATGGTGCTGCGCCTGGTTCACGCGCTCGTGCTTGTGTGCTCGTGTCCCTGCAGCAAGCCACTCGAGTCGAATCAACTCTCTGCCCTCCCTCTCCCCTCTGTCCTCCACACCACCATCACTCCAGGTGGCATCTGGTGACAATGGTGCTGCGCCTGGTTCACGCGCTCGTGCTTGTGTGCTCGTGTCCCTGCAGCAAGCCACTCGAGTCGAATCAACTCTCTGCCCTCCCTCTCCCCTCTGTCCTCCACACCACCATCACTCCAGGTGGCATCTGGTGACAATGGTGCTGCGCCTGGTTCACGCGCTCGTGCTTGTGTGCTCGTGTCCCTGCAGCAAGCCACTCGAGTCGAATCAACTCTCTGCCCTCCCTCTCCCCTCTGTCCTCCACACCACCATCACTCCAGGTGGCGTCTGGTGACAATGGTGCTGCGCCTGGCTCACGCGCTCGTGCTTGTGTGCTCGTGTCCCTGCAGCAAGCCACTCGAGTCGAATCAACTCTCTGCCCTCCCTCTCCCCTCTGTCCTCCACACCACCATCACTCCAGGTGGCGTCTGGTGACAATGGTGCTGCGCCTGGCTCACGCGCTCGTGCTTGTGTGCTCGTGTCCCTGCAGCAAGCCACTCGAGTCGAATCAACTCTCTGCCCTCCCTCTCCCCTCTGTCCTCCACACCACCATCACTCCAGGTGGCATCTGGTGACAATGGTGCTGCGCCTGGTTCACGCGCTCGTGCTTGTGTGCTCGTGTCCCTGCAGCAAGCCACTCGAGTCGAATCAACTCTCTGCCCTCCCTCTCCCCTCTGTCCTCCACACCACCATCACTCCAGGTGGCGTCTGGTGACAATGGTGCTGCGCCTGGCTCACGCGCTCGTGCTTGTGTGCTCGTGTCCCTGCAGCAAGCCACTCGAGTCGAATCAACTCTCTGCCCTCCCTCTCCCCTCTGTCCTCCACACCACCATCACTCCAGGTGGCATCTGGTGACAATGGTGCTGCGCCTGGTTCACGCGCTCGTGCTTGTGTGCTCGTGTCCCTGCAGCAAGCCACTCGAGTCGAATCAACTCTCTGCCCTCCCTCTCCCCTCTGTCCTCCACACCACCATCACTCCAGGTGGCATCTGGTGACAATGGTGCTGCGCCTGGCTCACGCGCTCGTGCTCGTGTGCTCGTGTCCCTGCAGCAAGCCACTCGAGTCGAATCAACTCTCTGCCCTCCCTCTCCCCTCTGTCCTCCACACCACCATCACTCCAGGTGGCATCTGGTGACAATGGTGCTGCGCCTGGTTCACGCGCTCGTGCTTGTGTGCTCGTGTCCCTGCAGCAAGCCACTCGAGTCGAATCAACTCTCTGCCCTCCCTCTCCCCTCTGTCCTCCACACCACCATCACTCCAGGTGGCATCTGGTGACAATGGTGCTGCGCCTGGTTCACGCGCTCGTGCTTGTGTGCTCGTGTCCCTGCAGCAAGCCACTCGAGTCGAATCAACTCTCTGCCCTCCCTCTCCCCTCTGTCCTCCACACCACCATCACTCCAGGTGGCGTCTGGTGACAATGGTGCTGCGCCTGGCTCACGCGCTCGTGCTTGTGTGCTCGTGTCCCTGCAGCAAGCCACTCGAGTCGAATCAACTCTCTGCCCTCCCTCTCCCCTCTGTCCTCCACACCACCATCACTCCAGGTGGCATCTGGTGACAATGGTGCTGCGCCTGGTTCACGCGCTCGTGCTTGTGTGCTCGTGTCCCTGCAGCAAGCCACTCGAGTCGAATCAACTCTCTGCCCTCCCTCTCCCCTCTGTCCTCCACACCACCATCACTCCAGGTGGCGTCTGGTGACAATGGTGCTGCGCCTGGCTCACGCGCTCGTGCTTGTGTGCTCGTGTCCCTGCAGCAAGCCACTCGAGTCGAATCAACTCTCTGCCCTCCCTCTCCCCTCTGTCCTCCACACCACCATCACTCCAGGTGGCATCTGGTGACAATGGTGCTGCGCCTGGTTCACGCGCTCGTGCTTGTGTGCTCGTGTCCCTGCAGCAAGCCACTCGAGTCGAATCAACTCTCTGCCCTCCCTCTCCCCTCTGTCCTCCACACCACCATCACTCCAGGTGGCATCTGGTGACAATGGTGCTGCGCCTGGTTCACGCGCTCGTGCTTGTGTGCTCGTGTCCCTGCAGCAAGCCACTCGAGTCGAATCAACTCTCTGCCCTCCCTCTCCCCTCTGTCCTCCACACCACCATCACTCCAGGTGGCGTCTGGTGACAATGGTGCTGCGCCTGGCTCACGCGCTCGTGCTTGTGTGCTCGTGTCCCTGCAGCAAGCCACTCGAGTCGAATCAACTCTCTGCCCTCCCTCTCCCCTCTGTCCTCCACACCACCATCACTCCAGGTGGCATCTGGTGACAATGGTGCTGCGCCTGGTTCACGCGCTCGTGCTTGTGTGCTCGTGTCCCTGCAGCAAGCCACTCGAGTCGAATCAACTCTCTGCCCTCCCTCTCCCCTCTGTCCTCCACACCACCATCACTCCAGGTGGCGTCTGGTGACAATGGTGCTGCGCCTGGCTCACGCGCTCGTGCTTGTGTGCTCGTGTCCCTGCAGCAAGCCACTCGAGTCGAATCAACTCTCTGCCCTCCCTCTCCCCTCTGTCCTCCACACCACCATCACTCCAGGTGGCATCTGGTGACAATGGTGCTGCGCCTGGTTCACGCGCTCGTGCTTGTGTGCTCGTGTCCCTGCAGCAAGCCACTCGAGTCGAATCAACTCTCTGCCCTCCCTCTCCCCTCTGTCCTCCACACCACCATCACTCCAGGTGGCATCTGGTGACAATGGTGCTGCGCCTGGCTCACGCGCTCGTGCTTGTGTGCTCGTGTCCCTGCAGCAAGCCACTCGAGTCGAATCAACTCTCTGCCCTCCCTCTCCCCTCTGTCCTCCACACCACCATCACTCCAGGTGGCATCTGGTGACAATGGTGCTGCGCCTGGTTCACGCGCTCGTGCTTGTGTGCTCGTGTCCCTGCAGCAAGCCACTCGAGTCGAATCAACTCTCTGCCCTCCCTCTCCCCTCTGTCCTCCACACCACCATCACTCCAGGTGGCGTCTGGTGACAATGGTGCTGCGCCTGGCTCACGCGCTCGTGCTTGTGTGCTCGTGTCCCTGCAGCAAGCCACTCGAGTCGAATCAACTCTCTGCCCTCCCTCTCCCCTCTGTCCTCCACACCACCATCACTCCAGGTGGCATCTGGTGACAATGGTGCTGCGCCTGGTTCACGCGCTCGTGCTTGTGTGCTCGTGTCCCTGCAGCAAGCCACTCGAGTCGAATCAACTCTCTGCCCTCCCTCTCCCCTCTGTCCTCCACACCACCATCACTCCAGGTGGCGTCTGGTGACAATGGTGCTGCGCCTGGCTCACGCGCTCGTGCTTGTGTGCTCGTGTCCCTGCAGCAAGCCACTCGAGTCGAATCAACTCTCTGCCCTCCCTCTCCCCTCTGTCCTCCACACCACCATCACTCCAGGTGGCATCTGGTGACAATGGTGCTGCGCCTGGTTCACGCGCTCGTGCTTGTGTGCTCGTGTCCCTGCAGCAAGCCACTCGAGTCGAATCAACTCTCTGCCCTCCCTCTCCCCTCTGTCCTCCACACCACCATCACTCCAGGTGGCATCTGGTGACAATGGTGCTGCGCCTGGTTCACGCGCTCGTGCTTGTGTGCTCGTGTCCCTGCAGCAAGCCACTCGAGTCGAATCAACTCTCTGCCCTCCCTCTCCCCTCTGTCCTCCACACCACCATCACTCCAGGTGGCGTCTGGTGACAATGGTGCTGCGCCTGGCTCACGCGCTCGTGCTTGTGTGCTCGTGTCCCTGCAGCAAGCCACTCGAGTCGAATCAACTCTCTGCCCTCCCTCTCCCCTCTGTCCTCCACACCACCATCACTCCAGGTGGCATCTGGTGACAATGGTGCTGCGCCTGGTTCACGCGCTCGTGCTTGTGTGCTCGTGTCCCTGCAGCAAGCCACTCGAGTCGAATCAACTCTCTGCCCTCCCTCTCCCCTCTGTCCTCCACACCACCATCACTCCAGGTGGCGTCTGGTGACAATGGTGCTGCGCCTGGCTCACGCGCTCGTGCTTGTGTGCTCGTGTCCCTGCAGCAAGCCACTCGAGTCGAATCAACTCTCTGCCCTCCCTCTCCCCTCTGTCCTCCACACCACCATCACTCCAGGTGGCATCTGGTGACAATGGTGCTGCGCCTGGTTCACGCGCTCGTGCTTGTGTGCTCGTGTCCCTGCAGCAAGCCACTCGAGTCGAATCAACTCTCTGCCCTCCCTCTCCCCTCTGTCCTCCACACCACCATCACTCCAGGTGGCATCTGGTGACAATGGTGCTGCGCCTGGCTCACGCGCTCGTGCTTGTGTGCTCGTGTCCCTGCAGCAAGCCACTCGAGTCGAATCAACTCTCTGCCCTCCCTCTCCCCTCTGTCCTCCACACCACCATCACTCCAGGTGGCATCTGGTGACAATGGTGCTGCGCCTGGTTCACGCGCTCGTGCTTGTGTGCTCGTGTCCCTGCAGCAAGCCACTCGAGTCGAATCAACTCTCTGCCCTCCCTCTCCCCTCTGTCCTCCACACCACCATCACTCCAGGTGGCATCTGGTGACAATGGTGCTGCGCCTGGCTCACGCGCTCGTGCTCGTGTGCTCGTGTCCCTGCAGCAAGCCACTCGAGTCGAATCAACTCTCTGCCCTCCCTCTCCCCTCTGTCCTCCACACCACCATCACTCCAGGTGGCATCTGGTGACAATGGTGCTGCGCCTGGTTCACGCGCTCGTGCTTGTGTGCTCGTGTCCCTGCAGCAAGCCACTCGAGTCGAATCAACTCTCTGCCCTCCCTCTCCCCTCTGTCCTCCACACCACCATCACTCCAGGTGGCATCTGGTGACAATGGTGCTGCGCCTGGTTCACGCGCTCGTGCTTGTGTTCCTGCAGCAAGACACTCGCGCGCAGGTGGGTTAACTCTTGAGAAGCTAGCCACTCAGGTGGGTGATGTTTGTTTTGCTGAGCCACTCGAGAGTGTGCTGCGCCTGGTTCACGCGCTCGTGCTCGTTTTCCTGCAGCAAGACACTCGCGCGCAGGTCAAGGCGGACAGGTGGGCATGCACATGTTTAGTCCAATGTGGGGGCATCGTTGTCTCGCAAGTTGTCAGTGTGCAAGTGGGTTTCACATGGTTCGTACGGTTTCTTCATGCCACTTCGTACGGTTCGTACCATGGTAACCCTAATCCTGCTGCTCCAAGCGCTAGGGATTGGCTCACAGTACAATCCTTTGCCCCTCGCCTCTCTCTCATTCCCTCCTCAATTCTTCCCTTATTCCCTTCCCCCACTCCACCACATTTCCCCTGATTCCCCTCCATTCCAGATCGTGATAATCTGCTGCTCCAGGCACTAAGAATCGGCTCACAGTACAAGTCCTCCCAATCAACTCTTCCCTTACTCCCTTCTTCCTCTTTCCCGCCCCATTTCCCCTGCTTCTCCCTCTCTTTCTTCCCTCCCATTCCAGATCGTGATAATCCTCCTGCTCCAAGCGCTAAGGATCGGCTCACATTGCAAGTCGTCCCCCCTCGCATCACTCTCCCTCGACTATCTCCAGGCCTTCCTCTCGCTGGGCCACTTCTTCTTCACCCTCGGCCTGCTCTGCTTCAACTACATCAGACTCCCCGCCTTCTCACAAACCCTTTTCCTCTCTCTCTCCCGCGCCCTTTCCCCTCCTCGTGCCTCCCATCCGCCCCTGCCCCTGCCTCATTCCAGATTGTGATAATTCTGCTGCTCCAGGCGCTGAGAATCGGCTCGCAGTACAAGTCGTCCCCCCTCGCATCACTCTCTCTAGATTATCTCCAGGCCTTCCTCTCGCTGGGTCACTTCTTCTTCACCCTCGGCCTGCTCTGCTTCAACTACATCAAACTCCCCGCCTTCTCCCAGGCTGTCTTCGCGCTCTCCTCCCTCCTCATCCTCGCTCCCGCCGCCTTCTCCCTCGTCTTCGAAGCAATCAACAAGGACTTAGAAATAGTAAACCGGCAGCTGTTAAACCGAGTGTGGAAGGGCGAGCGGCGGAGAAACAAAGCCAAGTATGACAAAATGGACCCGTACGATTTAGTCCCGCCGCAGGAGATTTCCGCGTGGTTCCGCCCGCACGTCGTCTTCCCGCTGCTCTTAGCTAAGCGCGCGCACGAGCGGAAGCTTTTGCTGAAACTCCGCGACCGCGTGCAGACGTGTAAGCTTGCGGGAATGGCGCCGGTTGATTGGGTGAGCCATCTGAACAAGCCGCAGTTATACGCGGTATTGAGTCAGGCTTTATTGGGGGCTAGTGCGGGGCATATCACGATTGCTAGGGTTCCAAGGAAGGGGACGTTTTGTCGGGAGCATGGGACGTGGCATGCTGCAGGGGAAGAGTGCGGCTTTGTGAAGAGAGCAGGGGGGATGCGAGGAGGAGGAGAGGGAGGCGGGGAGGGAGGAGTAGAGGGAAGACAGATGCTGATAACACCTGGTTGGGTGGGAGGGGAGGGAGCAGGAGCAGGAGCAGGAGGAGGAGGAGGAGGAGGAGGAGGAGCAGCAGGAGGAGCAGGAGGAGCAGGAGGAGCAGGAGGAACAGGAGGAGCAGGAGGAGCGGCAGGAGCAACGTCAGCGCAGCTGCTGTCAGCAGCCCCATGGGCGCCGAGGATAGAGAGGCATGTGAGCTGGGCGTCCTACGGCAGCAGCAGGGACTTTGACGGTAGTGCCTCCGACCACAACGCCGCCTCTGCTGCCGCCGCCGCCGCCGCTGCTGCCGCCGCTGCTGCTGGTTCTTCCCCCGGCATGTCTCCGTTTGCGCCTGCTGCTGGGGCTGGCCTCGCTTTGTCTCCTCTCTCTGGCATGTCGCCCATACATGGCATGTCGCCTCTGTCGGGAGCGAGCAACGGTGCTCTGCCTTCCAACGCCATGCATGGTGTGCATGGTGCTGGCGGTGGGTCGCCCATACACGGGGTGTCGTCGTCGCCATCGCTGGCATTGCATGGCATGCCGCCGCTTGCCCCAGCAGCAGCAGGAGCAGCAGGGGCAGGAGCAGGAGGGCCTAGCATGTCCCCTCTTGCGTCAGCAGCAGCAGGAGGGCCGGGTGCGTCCCCACTGTCTCGTGTCTCTGCTCCTCAAACGGACGTGGAGGGAGGAGGGGAGTCCCCCCTCTCATGGGCTCTGCAAGGGGGGAGAGGAAGAGGGGAAGGGGCAGGAGGAGGGGGAGGAGGTGAAGGAGGGGCAGGAGAAGGGGCAGGAGGAGGAGGAAAGGGGGGAGAGATGGAGAATGGAGGGATGGGGCAAGCGAGGACAGAGAGCATCAAGGTTCATGGGCTGGTGTCGTGGGCTCAGGCAGGGGCCGAGGGTGCTGGCGCTGGGTCTGGGGAGAAATTCGAGAGGCTGGGTGGTGATGGCGCGGAGGGGGGCCATGGAGGAGGGATTGAGGTTCAAAAAGAAGGAGGGTCAGGCGTGGAAGGAGAAGCAGGGGGGAGGGGGGGAGGAGGAGAGGGAGGAGGAGAAGCAGGAGGGGGAGAGGGAGAGGGAGGAGATGGAGGCGGGGTGGAGTACGTGGAAGCAAAGATGAACATGGCGGAGCTGACTCTCACCTTCCAGCGCCACCTCTCTGTGCTCGTGAGGGCGGAGAAGACCAAGAAGGACGGCTCCTTACGGCTTCTCCTGCAATCAGAGTGCATCCCGGACATCCTCAGCTGGCTCACCAGTTCCGACTGGTACGATGGGTGGGGCTGGGTTGTGGTGGGTGTTGCTTTTGGGATGGCTCGAGGTGCGCTTGCTGCTGCAGTCCGAGTGCATTTTGGACATTCTGAGCTGGACGCGTTTTGAGTCGACTCAAAACAAAACACGTTCTGAGTCGACTTAAAACAAAACACGTTTTGAGTCGACTCAAAACACGGGATGGCTCGAGCTGCGCTTGCTGCTGCAGTCCGAGTGCAACACGGGGGTTGGCCTGTGTTGGGTTGGGTTGGGTTGACTCAAGGGCCGCCTGTTGCAGTCCGAATGGATTCCGGACATTCCGAGCTGGCTCACCAGCTCCAATTGGTACGTGCTGGTGGGTGGTGGTGGGTGGTCAGTGTTATTGGGCTGACTCCCCTCATATGCCCCTCCTGTCTCCTTCCTCCTCTGCAGTGCGCGTGGAAGCTCCTGTCTCCTTCCTCCTCTGCAGTGCCGAGGCGGATCAGATGCTGTCTGGCGGTGCTTCCACGCGCACCCCATCACTCACGTCTCCCTCCTGTCTCCCACCACTCACGTCTCCCTCCTGTCCCCCACCACTCACGTTTCCCTCCTGTCCCCCATCACTCACGTTTCCCTCCTGTCCCCCACCACTCATGTCTCCCTCCTGTCCCCCATCACTCACGTTTCCCTCCTGTCTCTCTCCCCGCTGCAGCGCCCAGGCGGATCAGATGCTTCTAAGGGAGCTGGTGCTGGCGGTGCGAGTAGCAGCACTGGAAGAAACCGGCGGGCTGGACTGGTTCCGGGGCATGCGGTGCAGTGCGGTGCTTCCGCCGCAACCCGCAACCCTCCTCTCTCCCTTCCCCCATCCACACAACCCACACACCCCCTCCACTGCAGCGCCCAGGCGGATCAGATGCTTCTAAGGGAGCTGGTGCTGGCGGTGCGGGAGGCAGCATTAGAAGAAACCGGCGGGCTGGACTGGTTCCGCGGCGTGCGGTGCTTCTACCGCAACCGATTCGCGTTCGTCAACAAGGGGAGAAGCAAGGGGAAAGGGGGGGATAAGGGGAAGAGCGGGGGGAAAGGGAAGGGAATGGAGGGGGGGACGGGTGGAGGGGAGAACGGTCAGGCTGGTGGGGGAGGCAGCCATTCTAAGGGCCTTCTGGGGTGGTTTCAACGAGGTGATAAGCAGGCAGCTGATGGTGCTGCTGCTGCTGATTCTGATGCTGCAGCCAGGGCCTCAGATTCGTTTTGGGTGACCCTGAGCACTCAGGGTCCTTTGGGGCTGTAACACTGATCATCAGGGTTGTAAATGGAGAAACACTGATTTCTCAGGGTTAGAAAAAAAAAAACCCTGACACATCAGCGTGAGTTTTAAAAAAACACTGGCGGTGAGAATCCACAACAACTACCGGTATCACAAGTATAATAAGTTAAGAAAAGTTCAAATATGGTTCTAATGAGCTTCTAATCTAACTACAGGCACAGACCACTTGGCGCTCACACCGCACACACAATTCACATCACACACATGTCTTCATCTTCGTCACTACCACCACCATCGCTCATAGAACCGTGCCTGTGCACGGGGGTCTCTGTCCCCCACCCAGAGCCAGCACCACCAGCATCATCCTCGTCCACCTTCTCTTTCCCCTTAGCACTAGGTTGCTTCTTTGGTGCTGCCACTGTTGTGATGGGCTTGCGCTTCTTGTACGCCCTCCAGATCTTCACCACCTCCGCCCAGTCGGGCTCGTACGGCAGCAATGCCATGCACATGAGGTCCGACAGCCGCGCATCCCAGCCTGAGCTAGCATCTGCTTCTGGTGATTGATGGCCAACTGGTGCTTGTTCGTCGCGGCATGCCGCTTGAAGGCTTGGGTCTGAAGATCGGTTGCACCGTGCCCACTCTTGCCACACTTGCCACCGTCACCTGCAAAGTCGATGCACAATCTGCACTTGAACGCAGGCATGCCAGCAGTGTTTTTTATGAGGATGAGCCATGGGTAGTCGGTCGACCACGTCGACTTGAACGTTTCAAGGGCCTCTTCGTAAATCAGAGTGGTTAGTGACGGTTTTTTAGAGTTAGATGGCGTGGGCGTAACGTGGTTTACCGACTCGCCGGCATCAGCGAGAGGACGTCCAGGATCTGTAGGATCGGCCCAACGGAGCACGGCCTGCTTGTAACGAGGCGGAGGCTTTGACGACGACGCACGAGATGGCAAGCGGACGCTCGGTCCGGCTGCTGACGGCACGGCCGGCTTAGCAGTATGCGCGGGCTGGGGACGATCGTCTCCGCGGCAGAGGCCAGACGCTTCACCAGTGTTTGCTACTGAGGCGACGGGACCTGGCTTCTCTTTTTCATGGGAGAGCGCGGAAACTATAAAATCTAGTCCCGTTCTGGCCTCCAGCATCTCGGTGGCGGCGTAAAGTGCATCGTCGTCATCATCACCGCAGCTGTTCTCACCGGTGATCGCCATGGCGCGTTCACGTCACCTTCCTGAATCGGTGAGTAGTAACGAGAAACCCTGGGAGAGAGAGAGCCTGCCGAGCAGGCTTCAGGGAGACTGCAGAGATTGATGTTTCGGAAAGGGATGGAGTCTGGAGAGCTGGAATGGCAGAATCACGAGACCCCCTGCGTGGGGTGCCTGAGCGGGCCGCCCCAGCACGCCCTGCCTTGGTGGAAAGAACAAGGCAGACCACTGGCCCACTGGGCCACTAGGCTTGGTTGTTTGTGCACATCAATGGAAAGTAATGACAAGTGTAGGTTATACAACGTGACAACGGTACATTGCTTCAGCTGGGACAGCCAATCTCTTTACGCCGTTTTGTCAACACAGCCCGAAATTAACCCGTTCAACTGTATCTGGGCGCGCCGCAGGGTGGCGTCGGTGCAGGGTGGGTTCATGCATGATGACGGCGCGCAAAACTGCGAGAATCACGGAGTTTTCGGTTTCAGGGTCGTCTCCGATACAACACTGACTCGTCAGTGTCGACAAACTAGAAACACTGGAAAATCAGGATTAGGAAAAGAAAAACACTGATTCATCAGGGTTGTAAAAACAAAAAGGCTGATTCATCAGGGTTACAATAAAAAACCGGGGTCAAACATCAGGAAATCAGGGTAAAATTCCTGGAATCTGAGGCCCGGGCTGCAGCTCCTTCATCTGGTGCCTATGGGAGCAAGGGCAACCTGCTTTGAGGTTCCTTTTGAGAGTGTATGCAAGTAAATTCAATGCTCGCACCCGTTATTTTTTTTTATTTGAGCTGATAAATTCTCTAACATTTCAAAGCAAAGGCTCGAACGAGCGCCTTCGGCGCCTATGATTTAGATTCACACGCGTTTAGCAGCATATTTTTTCTAAACAAAAAAACTTTTTTTGCTTGTTCTAACGAGTGCGTAACGCACCGTCAGAGCGAGCAAGCTTTGCTTGCGACGGAAGACGCGTAGCGCACCGCTTGCGAAACAAAGAAGTATTTGCTTTGCATTGCAAACGTGTAGAAGGGTGCGAGTTGAATGAACACCGAGTACCATAAACATTGGTTTTTCCGGGTGTGGAAAAGCCATAGTTGGGAGGGTTGCAAAATCTGCTGGGAATGAGAGAAGTAGAGTGGGTGGTGCAACCCAAGGGAGATCACACACATTCTGTCTCAATGCCTGTGGTAAGCTGTACAACATGTACAGTATCTGTTTGTTTTCCTTCATATGTGTGCTCTATAAACATACCACCATATCTCTCTCAGCGTGAACTGGCCCTAAAGCAGGCATCTCAAAATGCTGTCACGTCAGTCCTACATAAGGGTGCATTCCTGTGTGGACACAAATGTCTCTCGATGCCCCTTTTCCCGAGTCGCGTTGAAACATTTTGTCAAATGCGTGTCACAAAAATCGAATGTATCGCGACAGTAGGCGACCAGACGAAATGTACAGTTGTGCGCATGTGACTGGGTGACTGTACTCCCATTTCTTCAAATGTTGGGCAGGCGAGCGCGGGATTTTTTCCCTCGCGATTTTTTTCACCGTCGAGTGTCCAGGTGCATGTGGCCGTGTCGGGAATTTGGAGCCGCGTGCGATTTTTTGTCAATGACGAGTCAATTTTCAATTCGTCAACGACGTCAGCGCGTTTCAAGCCGACCAATTAAAAATACAGTACTGGTCGCCAAAACGCGACTCGCATTTGAGACAATACAATTTATGCTGTTTTTGGGTGTCACAAAGCGTTTGAGACACAAGTGTCCACACAGGAATGCACCCTAATTCTCAGTTGCAATGGCAAATGACACAGTAGTGGCTAGATATTTGTCAACCTAGGTTCACTAGACTAGACCACCCTGATGAGAATAGGTAAAGCATCATTACTTACAAAACCGCATACCAAAACTTCAGAAAGTTTGCAGTTTTACCATGCTGACTTCAGGCTTTGAATACTGCAGTACATAATTTAGGCTTACAGTAGAACACTGAATGGCACCAATAGAGAATAACACAAGCTACGCCAGCGCCATAAGTACTGCAGGGTTCCTCCTCTTGTGGGTAAGCTCCTGCTGTTAGCACTTGACCTACAGCACATGTGAACCTGATACCATGTCGACAAAACCTTTACGCCCCATAGAGTACAAACGAGTTGTCACACTATATAAGTTAAACGCCTGTTGAGCCTTATGCAGCCCAGGATTCGTGCCTGTCTGCTGCTCTGGTGGTCTTCTTGTCCGGCTGACCATCTGATGCGGGCTGTATGCTGCTGTTGCATGATAGGCTGTATGATTGGCTGCAGCTGCGTTTGCTGCTGCGTATGAGAGATATCGCCATGCATCACCCATTCCGTAAAAATGTACTGGTATTCTTGTCAGAAGAGGATTTGTCAGATTTCTTCAAAAGCCGAACACCCAGTCGATTTCAACAGCGTCGGTAGCCTGACTCCGACCCCACACGCTGCAGGAGAGCAGCTGCGGCGTTTGCGCCAACGATCCTTCTGAAGCTACCAAATCTGCAGCGTCTATCTCTTCCGGTTTAACCATCGGATTGTACCCTCCAAACAGACCCCACAACGAAGGAACCACATTCAGCGCCTCCTCCTGAACGCCCGCTGCTGCTGCTGCTGCTGCTGCTGCTGCTTCCCCTGCGACCGATTCCGAGCCTTCAATCTGCTCCGATCTAGCTCCGTCTGTTTCTACCGACCCTTCTTCAACCGACGAGGAGGCGAGAGACGAAGAGAGGCTTAGCCGTGAGCTCGCACACAGCAAGCTGGTATGAGTCTCGAGCTCCAACCTCGGCGGGGTTTGCGGGGAAGCATGCGGTAGCTTCCTGGAAACCACGGGGCTGAACTCGGCTGAGCATTGGAGATGAGAGACGGGCGAGCTGGGGAGGTGAGATTGCGAGTGCATGGCGGGACTGGGGGAAGAGTGGGCAATGCCTGTACACATGCATTGGCTTGCGTTGTCGATCGATGTATCGATTTCTAAGCTATCTACCACCTGTTCGGAATGCTCGTTCTGCAGCTCCTGCGCTGACTGCTGCTGCTGCTGCTGTTGCTGCTGCGATCGGAACACCTCGGTGAACCACGGATGCTGGAGTATGTCGCTAGCAGTCGGTCTCTTTGCTGGATCCTGCCGGAGCAGGCACCGAATCAAGTCTTTCGCGAACGGCGAAATTGACCCCCAAATCGGCCGGTAAAACGAAAACTTTCCACGCCTGACGGCTGCGAGGACCTCGTCCTCCGATTCCCCGAAGAAAGGAGCTGAACCCGAGAGAAGCATGTACAGCATGACACCAAGAGACCAGATGTCTGCTTCGTGGCCGTAATTTCCGGATAAAACTTCTGGAGCGAGGTAGAACGGGCTTCCAGCGACACCGTAAACCTGCTTGTGAGCGTCCACGAAGAGAGAAAGCCCGAAATCAGTAAGCTTGACCCTCGGCGTCAATGAGAAGCATTTTGAAGGCGACTTGCAGTCATCTGTTCCCGCTTGCTCCCTAACGCCTGATCTCTGTACAAGAAGGATATTTTCCGGTTTTAAGTCGCGGTGTAGAACGCCGTGCTCATGGCAATGCATAACGGCAAGGACAATCTCCTCAAAGACTGCTGCTGCTTGTGCTTCTGTCATGAAGCCATGGCTGCTGATGTCGTCGAATAAATCACCACCCTCGCAAAGCTCCATAATTAGATGGACGAAGCTATCGTCCTCGAAAACGTCCTCCAGGTTCAGCGTGTACGGGTTCCCGGAAAGTCTTCGCATGATCTCGATTTCTCTGCGAACATCTTCCTTATCCTCCCTGAAGAAAGAAGAAGCAAGCAAGCGAACAACCAAGGAGTTGAGTCAGCACTGCTAGTTAACGATGGCGCAAGAGCAACACGATGTTCCTGCTCCATTCGTAAATAAGCATAAACAAAAAACGACAGAAGGCGTGGGAATAGGAACTAACCAGTGCGAGAGTTTAGACTTGTCAATCGACTTGCATGCGTATTGTCCGCCTCCGGAACGTTTTCTGCAAAGCTTGACGATCCCGAAATGTCCACGACCCAGCTCCTTCTCTAAGGTGTAAGCATCCTCTAGCCGTCCTGTACGCTGATGCAGTACCCATCCGCAATCTAGGTCAAACGGGAAGCGGACCATCGCTGAACCTCAAAACCCCGATTACTTAGAAGGTGTTTCTATACTAAGAAGACCACAACTTCTCTATCCCTTGAAGACCTGTGGTGCTTCTGGTGCTTCCTCAGTTAAGCTCTATAAATAAAGTGGTATCAGCAGGCTCTATAAATAAAGTGGTCTTACCACACTATCAGAGACCTAATAAATAAAATGCCTTATGGTAACAGCTGGTGCTAGTGGAGGGGT